TGGCCCATCGCAAGAGCAAAAAGAGAAACGCCCCCTCGCCACAACTCGGCGCACAGGGAGCAAACAACGACGCTCAAAAACAAACCAACAACAACAAGACACACTGAAATAAAAACAAAACGCTGAACACAAAACAAAATAAAACCTTCTTGTGGGGCCCTGAGCCCTCGCCCCACACGTGGAACATAAAGCACGAGAAAGTGTAGACCCTTCGGCCCATCTTGCCCACCGCTACAATTCGAAGAGAATTTGCTCGGAACGCAAAAAATTAAAAAGCAACCGTCACATCAAGGCACTCTATGATTACCGGCCTCGCAGAAAACAGAGCAGCTAGTACCCGCAGAAAACAATATATACAAAAAAAATTCCACTCATCTCTTTGGATTCCTCTGGGCGCGTGCCTCCACAGAAGACCAAAAAGGCAAACAAATACATCGCAAAGGAGCGGCGCAAGACGAGCCCACTCGCAAAATAATTTATTTACAAGGCGGGAGGCGCAACGGTCGTCCCACTGAAGCCCGCACCGCCCTGCCCAGCGTCCATGGCGCACGCCGCAGCCGGTCAGAGCACCGCCGGGGCACCCCCTCAGTCGCGGACAACGACGCTCAAAATAAAACAAAACGAACAAAAACACAAGAAAATAAAACCAAACACTCAAAATAAAACAAAATCAAAAACAGAGGCCAACACTATGTACAAACAAATGGCGCACGTGAGAGGCGGTCTGGTATCATTGTGCTCCGCCCACTTCACAGTGGCGACCCTCACACTTCCCTCTCCGAGCCCCCCAATTCGCCTCATCGCCGAGATGCTCATTGAAAAACAAACAAAAAAAATTACATCAGAAGGGCATCGTGGACGGGAAATACAGCGATGGCGCCAGTCCTCCAGACTCTCCTCCTGCAGGGGCTCTGCCCGCTTCCGCCTTGCATCGCCCACCGCGTGGAGAGCTGACCCCGGGGCCGCGCAGTCACCCAGCATAAAAAAGAAAACTAAACCAAACAGTAGACGTACATTGTGCACCCGTGCCAGCTCTTGTAATATCCACATTCATTTATCGCATTCCACTGATTGCGTCAGGGCTGATGGCCACGCACACACAAAACAAAATGCCACCTTTACGAACCCAACTTCATCCAACCCAAAACCCACCCCACGCAACCACACAGCTACTACTCGGCACAGCAGCATTGCTGCACACGACACGCGCCGCCCACATCCCTACCCCAATGAAAACCCCACAATGCACGTGCCTATTGTAGCTCCATTGTATCCAGATCATCCCCATTCACCACGCCTCCGACGATACCACCGCGCCGTACCCTCCTCGTATTTCCAAGAGGCACCATCTGCGTCTTCAGCAATCTCCTCGCCCCTTGGAAACTTTGCACCTGGAAAAAACACCCGATGCAACACGTCCGCGACTATGGTTTTTGGTCAGGCTGAACAATTGGGAAACATTTGAGGCAGCGTGGTAGGCGTGGCATGGGCTCAGCAGGTACTGCACGTTTTGGAGGTAACACCCGGGAATTTTGCTGCGGCACATGCTGCTGCTTACGGGGAGGACTCATGGGAACAATGGGGTCCCCAGCGGAACCCGAACCGGGCTGCTGCTTCTGTTGTGTTCCATTCAACGGATTACCGTTCATCTCTCGCAATACCATGGGCGTCACCCACCTAGATTGATCATTGGTACGACGGCGGCAACAACAGAAGATGATGATAATAAGTAGTGCAAGCAGAGCGAAAAGCGGCAGCAATACGGCAAGAATGATGTACAACTGTTCCAGTGACCACGACACCACCACTTTCGTCGTTGTCTTAATAAATCCGTCCTGCACCTCACAGACAATGCCGAATGCAGCATGAGGTGTTTCAGGGTTAGCCTCAGCATAGTCTGACCCGTCATACCACGTTGCCGTCGTATTTTTCCTCAAATCCAAGTGAGATATTAAAAACATTTCACCGTGTGCAGGGTAATGATGTTCCCAGTAAGACTCATACCCGTTCATTCGGCCTGCGCCAGTGAGGGAGTGCAGTGAACCTCTGAAAAACTGAGCACCACGATAGGTCTCCTCTGGGTGCTCAAACTCGCCCAGATTCCACTCAAAAATGCAGTTCAACGATGCCTCAGCAACTCCTGGACGACATATCTT